TAAAAAAAGAAATAAAAAATAAAATAAAATAAAACTTTTATTGGTTACTTTAGGAAAATGCTAGGTAATGAATTCATTATTCTAAGAACTAGTAAATAAAGAGAAAAAAATGAGCGTTATCTTGCCTGTCCTGTGTAAACTGTTATCAGTATAAATAAATAGCTGATGAAGGAAAGTTTTATTTATAAAAGATTTTCAGCTAATATATGCAGAGGGAATGCTATATTTAGAATGTCACCTTTTTGTAACCACTAATGAAATAATGGGTTTGGGCAATGATCATCATGGGTGCTAAAATCATTAGGTGAATTATGATCACACTATATCCACTGATCAGGCTTAACATCACAAAAAAGTAATACAGACATGTTGCTTTAGTCAAATTTTCATTGCTGTAATTGAAAGACCTGAAAAAGACAACTTAGAGGAGGAAAAAGTTTATTGTGGCTCATGGTTTCAGAGATTTAATTTATGGTCAGCTGATTCCATAGCTGTGGGCCTGAGGAGAGACAGAATATTATGGAGGAAGGTGGTAGCAGAGGAAAGCAGGACATGGCGACTATGAAAGAGAGAGGGAGAAAAATGAAGAGAGAGAGAGAGAGAGAGAGAGAGAGAGAGAGAGAGAGAGAGAGAATGAGAATATATATCACTTACCAGGGACAAAATATAAACCCCAAAGATACAACCCCAGTGACCTACTTTCTTCAGCTACATCTTACCTGCCTGCAATTATCACCCAGTCAATCCATATCAAAGAATTAATTCACTGCTTATGTTATGACTCTCTAATCATTTTTCTTCTAAACATTCTTGCATTGTGTCACATATGAGTTTCACCTCATATCTAAACTATTACATATCCTTTACCTCTATTGTGTTGTAGTAGAAAGCACACAATAGCATTTATAATCTGATCATGACTCCAGATACCTGGTCAGGTGTAATCAATCATATTTGAAATTAGGGAATTATTAAGATTTTGGTAACACTAAAACAAAAATTATCTCTGTCAATTAAAAAATTATAGCTTCCAATCCTGATATTCCTTTGAGTCTAATTCAGAGGTCATAAACTTCTTCTGTAAAGGACCAGATAGTACATATTCATAACATTAATATGCTCTTATTTGCAACATTCAACTTGGCCTATGTGGTGTGAAAATAGCTTTAAACAATAAGGAAATGGATGAACATGACTGTGTACTATAAAACCTTTTGTGTGTGTGTGTGTGTGTGTGTGCACTGGGAATTTAACCCAGGGGCAATATACCACTGACCTACATCCCCAGCCTTTTTTTCACTTTTGTTTTGAAACAAGGTCTCACTGTTGCTTAGGGCCTCACTAAGTTGCTGAGTTTGGTCTTGAACTTGTGATCCTCCTGTCTCAGCTGTAAAACTTTATTTACAATAGCAGGAGATGGGTCGTAGTTTGATGACCTCTGGTCTAATTTCATTGGGCTTAGGGTACAGTCTAAGAATCTGCATTTTAAACAAGCATACCAGGCACATATAATTGGGTGAATTATCCTAGGAGCCAATTACAGTTACCAGTCATATTTTCAGATAAGAAAATTGAATCCCAGACAGGACAAATAATTTGCCCAAGGATCTGTAGCTAGAAGGTAGCAGAAGTGTGTTTATAGAGGAAAATTCTGGCACAGGCTTCTCTCTGTCATAGGCACTATCCAGGAAGATGTTAATGAGAAACAGGCAAAGAGACAGGGACAGTAGAGGGGGAGAGAGAAGGGAGCTTTGCTTGCATAGTGCACTAGCTCAAGCAGTCTTCTTTAGAACAAGGGAGAAGGCAGACAAGGAGAAGGGCAGAAACATGCATAGAGAGCCCAGCAAATAAAAAGGTTGTGTTGGGAGCATAATGTCCATTTCCTGATATATAGGTCTGAAATCTGGTGTTGTCAGATTTAACATATACAAATACAGAATGCCTGGTTAAATTTGAACTTCAGACAAAAAAAAAATACATAAGTATATCCCATGCAATATTTGGGACATACTTATACTAAGAACTATTTGTTGTTTATCTGAAATTCAAATTTAAGTAGACATCATGTATCTTATCTGGCAGACTAACTGAAGCAGGAAGCAAATTTGTCAAAAGTGTTTAGTAAAATATCAGTAGACAAGAGGTCAAGGGCACTCCCTTCTCAAGGGACAATGAGTACCCACCCTTCTGGTCAGGCAGAAGGTCCAGAGGTCTCAGAAACTGGTTTTCCAGATCTGACTAGATTTTGAAGAAGTTATATGACCTTCCCCTACAATTTCTTGATTTGTGGTTGACCTTTGAATGGGCCTCTTGAAGCCTGAGTTGATTAGGTGCCTCTGGTGTCCATACATGGAATCTGGACATAAAAGCAATTTTATGGAAATAGAGACTCCCTTGTTCTGTTCCAGGTTGGCTCCCAATATGTCTGGACTGGTCATTTTTCTGAGAAACAGACTTAATAATGCAGCAAATGGGGTTGCACTCTGGAATTAATATGCCTGGTAATTCAAAGGAGCAAAGACCCTAATGAATCCTGGCTAGACCCAGTCTTGGCTAGACAAAAACAGAAAGGAGAGCTTGTGCTAAGATTATATAACCCTTTAATTCCTCCAAACAGACATCTAAACAACCTGAGCATCCTGACCCTCTAGCACTAGCAAAGTGTCTCTTGAGCAGAAGTCCTTCCAGAGTTTTGTATCTCTTGTCCTCATTGGGATTGTGTGTGAGGTTGGAACAATTGGAAGAGGGTGTTGGAAGGCATCCTTCAAGGTAGGCATGGGGGTCTTTCCTATTGCAACTCAAAGCCCTGCTTCTCTCCAAGTGCTTATTTTATTGCTAGAATTATTCCTGAGCCTTTTAATTTACGCTTCCTGTTTCAAGGCTTACCTTAAGATCCTTAAGGTATCTCAGATCATTGGCTAACATTTCTTATTCAATGCTTAGAAAAGGTGCCTTATTTTCTTTTTCTGTCAAACAGGGATGGTAGAGGTGTCTATTGGAGAATGTTGTATGAATAAGGAATGCAGTATGCAGTGTCCAGAACTCATTATTAATTAACTCATATTGTTCTTATTACAAAGACTGATTTTTGGCTAACTTATGTCTGGTTTGGTTTTATCATGGGGATATTTGTCAATAACTTTTATAAGAAATGTTTGAATACTACCTTTCCCAGACTGGGTTTCTTCATGAGGGAGAATGATGGAGGTCACCTTGGAAGGAAAGCAGCACTGAATTTTACATGAAATCAGAAAACTCTAGGAAATGAGAGTTGTTATGCTGCCATATATCATGTAAAGAAACACACAATGAGCAGTTACTGTACTTTGTGGGTACGCCTTTGCACTTCATGGGTTTTGCGACCTAATATCACCTTAGGCAGGACTGTTGTTTAACTCCCATTTTGAAGATAAGGAAATTGAAGTTCAAAGAGGTTAAGTGCTTGTCAAAAGTCAGATCAAAATCCAGGGCTTTGAACTACCAATTTATTGCTGTTTTTGTTGTATCACAGACCTCTTGAAATATTTTAGTTCATTCCTGGAAGGGTGCAGTATAAACTTTGCCCACATTGCTGGTGCTGCTCGGCGAGAATCTTATCAAGATTCCCCTGTGACCAGTTAATACCCTTCTAATACTTTTCTGTCCAAACATTTAAGCTCATCACAATTTATATCCAGTACACTTGAATTTCTCCTTTTTGTAAACTTATAGATTTCAATTTGTAATACATCTTCTGGATTGTAAATAAAAATCATCAAATGACACATACACCAGCATCATTTTGGAGGACTCCATTATTCACAATTGTCCATCAAGGGTAATGTTCCTATATTTCTGACTGCTACTTTTTTCTTTAATGAAGAAATCAGATGCAATAAATCATTCTATAATATTCTATCAAAAATAATTTTTTTTTAAAAACTTATCTTTTGATGTAGAACTTAAAGTTGGTCTACTGGTTTCTGTTTATTCATGTTATTATTTCCTTTTATTGTTTTTAAAATTTCAAATGTAATACATGATCATCATGACATTTCTAACAGTACAGAAATACAGACAGTGAAATCTGGAATGTTTCCTTTGGTCTCTACTCATTCTCACCTCCATCTCTAGAGAAAACCACCAGTTTACTAGTTTTCAGGACCTTTTTCTATGTGTTTGTCAAGTTGCACGGTACTATATATTTGCTTGTGTATGCATATATCCATTTTTATAGGAATGAGAATACTCAAATATATTTTTTAGCAACTTGCATTTTCGTTTGATATATCTGGACATACTTACATATCAGTACACATAGCTCTGCCATTTCCTTTTTAACCATTGAATATACCTTTAGTGAATACTATTGTTTGCGCTTCAAAACAACAAAATAAATGTCTTCAATTAAATATTAGCACCTACAAGAGCAAGTGTTTTTCCTAAGACACCTACAAATGAATTGCTGGTCAAAGGCACTTATACCTTTAGTGTGAACAGATTCTAAAAGAATTTGCTCTCAGAAAAGGTGTCCCAATCTTGCCAGTGGCACTGAAGACTAATTCTCATATCCCTCAAGCACCAGATAACATACATCCTTTTCCATTTTTCTCAAATGACATTCAGAAATGTGTCTCTTGTTGTTTTAATTGGCATCTCCTCATACATTTGTGGCTATTGGTAGCTGTCTGGTGGATCATCTGTTCGTCTGTTTTACTCTTCTTTCTGTTGGTTGTGTTTGCTAACTAATTTGAAGGAGTACTTTGTATTATATGTTTTTTTTTTTAATTCCTTGTTTGTTACATAATTGCAAATATTTTCTCATTTGTCTTTTAACTATGATTATTTTGTCTTGTGCCATGCAAATGTATTTAATTTAATAAGCTATATTGCAAAATATTATCCTGTATGGCTTCTTGAACATATATGTCTTATGTAGGAAGGCCTTCCACTCCTGAGGTTATACAAATACTTTTGTAAGTTTTCTTCTAATATTATTATTGTTTTGTTTTTATGTTTAGCTCTTTAATCCATCTGGAAATGATTTTTGTATATGGTGTGAGGTAGGTATCTAAGTGTATTTTCTTAATGAATAGTTCATTGTCCCAACACTTTAATTACTAACCCATCATTTCATATATTAAACTCCAATATTTACATATGGGTCTGCCTCTAGACTCTCGAGTTTGTTCCATTAATAAATTTGTCTATCCCTATGCCAAACTACAATGTGTTCATTACATAGTTCAATAAAATATTTTGCTCATAGAGCAAATCTCCATCATTGTTCTAATTTTAACAAGTTTTTATCAAGTATTTACTACTCTAGATGAATTTGGATTTATGTTGTTGATTTCCATAAACCATTCCATTGGGGTATATATCTACATTGTTTTGAACTTTTAGACTACTTTGAGGGAGGAATGAGATGTTTGTGATATTGAGTCTTCTTTTTGAGGGAATTATAAAAAATTTCATTTATTTAGGTCTTTTCTGTTTTTTTTCAATACTTTTATTTAAATAGAATTGTATATTTTCTGCTAAGGATTATGTCTCAGGGTTTTAAATATTTTGTTGCTATTGTACAAATAATTTATTTTCCAGTGCATTTTGAAGTCATTGCTACTGACATGGGTTATCCTTTTATATCTGGATAATTTATTAAGTCTATAATACTTTTAATTGCTTCTAAGGTTTTATCAGTTAGTATGATATTTAGTGTGCTGAATAAAGGAAGTTATATTCTATTACTAAGGGATTAGGGCTTTTAATCACAAAAGGGCATTGGAAAATTTTGGCATCTTCTCAAAGGATGGTTTTTCTTCTTTTATTTTCCATTTAGTAAATTAAACCAGATTTCTTAATGTTGATGCATTCTTGCATTTCTGTTATAAACATTCTTCAATTATAGTGTGGGATTTCTGTGATTTGCTGCTGATTTGATGTGTCATTCAGATTTGGAGACTATTCATAACAGAGATAGTTCTATACATACATAGATTAAAAATCTGTATTTATGTATTTAAGGTTACATGTTAAGCTTGACTGATTTTGTTATCAGAAATATTCAAGCCAAAGGAAAAAAAAGCAAGGGAAAAAAAAAGAAATATTCAAGCCACAGAAGTGGTTTGAGAACATTTCTGTCATATTTTGCTTTGGAAAAATATAAATAAGATAGAAAATGGTAGTAGAACTCAATCATACAATCATAAAACCATCTGAACCTATGATTTTTTAATATATAGAGTTTTTACTAGAATTATAATGTTTTTTATATTCATGTTTTCTACATTTCATTAATGTTTTCTAGTAAACATTAGATTCAGTCACTGAATCTTTATTTTCAAATTATTGTTGTATTTCAAATTATCTCCTCTGTATCCCTTATTAACCTTGCCATACATTTATATAACTTTTGAAAGAACTAGCAATTGACTGTGCAGACCGAGTCTGCTCTTTTCCCCTTTTCGGTTGGTTGTTTTACTCTGTTTTGTTTGATACCAATTGATCCATATTCATTTTATTTTGGCTTTATTATTTAGTGCCTTTTACTTTTCCTATGTTTGTTTTTAGGTCTCTCTGTCTTTTACTTTGAATCCTTATTTAGTTTAGTTATATTTTAACTATTTTTTAAATAGTGTTTAGATGCTATATTATCCCCTCCAAATTACTTTCACTATATTCCACAGGATTTAATGAATAGGACATTAGTTAATATTATAATATATAGTTTTAAATTTTATTTTTATGTTTTCTTTATTAGGTTTTTAATTGCCCAAAGAGAACCATTTAAAAAATTAAACTTTTGTTGTTAATTTCTATTTTGTTTTATTTGATGAAGAAAATGTTTTTTGTTTTTATTCTTTATCTTTTTCTCTTAGAATTTCAGATTTTCTTTGAGGCTTTTCATGTGGTTGGTTTCTATAAATATTTTAATTTAAGGTAATTATTTTTAAGGAGTCTGAATGATGTAAGCAATCACACACATATTTATCCATCACAACTCATTATTCATATTTAAAAAATGTCTTTTCATCTATATTGTCATTTTGATATTTTAATTTGTGAAAGAAGTGTTTTAATTTTCCATTATAATGATAGGTTTGTTAGTTTGGGTTTATAGCCCAATTTTACTTTATATATATATATATATATATATATATATATATATATATATATATATGTATATATATGTGTGTGTGTGTGTGTGTGTATACTGTATACACACACATATTTTATTTAGTGTTGCTATGTTAATTGGAGCATAGTATTCATGATTACCAAAATAGTAAATTTTTCCATCTTTAAATATGATATTAAGTATTAAGTATACTGCAAATATGATACAAACTACTTTTTTTCCAACTTATACCTGACATTTGGAAGTCTGTTTTTATATACACATGTGAAAAATAAAAATAATCAATAAAAGTAATATTATTGGTCATATATATGTATGTACGTATACACAAAAGTATATGTGTTTGTACTTGCATATATAGGCATACACAATATATGCCTATATATTTGTGTATATGCATATATAGGTTGATTATATTTTTCTTTTATTGCTTGTATTTTTTCTTTTATTTTTAGTATTTTTTGCGATTTTATTTTAGATATGACTTTTCTAAATAACATGAATCCTGATTTTTTTTAACCCTTAATTTTTCTCTCACTTAAGAGGTATTATAACCTGTTTTTACTTATTGTCTACAGTAATAATTCTAAACCTCTTTTTTATTTTGTGGTCTAACTATTGCTATTCCTCTTTCTGTAGTCTTTTTGGTATTGATTAAAGATTTTGGTTCTATTTTCTTGAAAATGGTTAGGAAGTTAGGTGTATACTTCTATTCTTCTGGAAGTTGCTTTAAAACTTTAGCAAGCACATTTAAACTGTCATAATCAACCGTTGATCAGTATCTGTAGGCTTTTCCCCTCCTTTCTAAATAATAAATTTAGAAATTCAGGAGCTAATTGTGGTTTTACCTACGAGATGCCTGTGGACTACATTGTGCCCTCCCCACATTGGCCAACAAGGCTAACTTGATGTCTGCAAATACTTGATACTGGGCAGCTTGCTCAGGGACTTTGCAGATTTTCCTTTATCAGGCTTTTAATTTTTTTCTGTATATACTCTTTTATGCATTTATGGTTGAAATTATATGGAAATTTCATTCCAGATAGATGTTCGTAGTAACAGTGGTGGTACTATTAGCATTATTGGTATTATTATTTACTTTTTCTCTATTTTATAGAAAGCCCTTATTAGTGTAGTATTACCTTTTACTACCAAATTAGCAACTGTTATTTGAATTTAAGCTGCATTCTTGTAGCTTATTTGCTCTGTATTATTCGTAATGTTCCAAGTCATTATTTATCTTGGATTCTTTTCTCTTTTTTTTTTTCAAATATATCCTCAATTAATTTCTGCTTTATTAATGAAGGGTTGTGTGTAGTAAAATTTCTGTCTTTGCTTGTTTGAAACAAATATCTTCAGTTGTTTTTAAAACAGATATAGACCTTTCCTGATTATAAAATCCAGGTTGAAAACAACTGTTCTGCAAACCCTTATTATCTGTTATCTTCTAAAATACTTCAAGTGGATAAGGCAAACATGACTTCACTTTAGAGAAACAAGATTGCCCATCTCCAAAATCATTCTTTAAATGTTCATTATTATTATTCCTCTAGCTCATCCACCTCAGAAATAAAAACTTTGAGTTAATTGTTTATCAGTACATTTATAAAGAACTCTTTTTTTATCAATAGTAAGCACTTTTGCATCAACAAATTCCATGTATCTGCCAATGTTCCAATTTTTGAATCTGTATTTAATAATGATGCAGTTACTTCCTGAGTTTTAAAACATGTTGTGAATTTTCTTCCACTGCTGTTAATATTCTCGACCTGCTGGGAAACGTGGCTCTCCCTGACATCCTTTTAAGGAAAAAAATACCCTGAATGTTGGCTCTTGTTAGTGGCTTTCTGTTGCCCTCAGATCAGTAAATCCACAAATGGCTGATAGTCTTCTTAGGCCGCATTAAAGACTGTCTTCCTTATTGACTTTTGAGATATTATTAAAAACTGTCATTATTTCCCTCTTTCCACCTGATATCTTATTAGTATGTGGTTTTTCCATGCTCTTGGAACTTCCCTGTCCCTTGGCTTGAAATCCCAAAATGTGGTAAGAAATTTAGGATTGACAGGTAGGAGCTAGTCAGGGTTTTACCTACGAGATGCCCGTGGACTACATTGTGCCCTCCCCACATTGGCCAACAAGGCTAACTTGATGTCTGCAAATACTTGATACTGGGCAGCTTGCTCAGGGACTCTGCAGACTTTCCTCTAGAAGATTTTAAGATTTTTATAGTAGCACTGGATTCTGAAACCTTCTCTCTCACTTCAGATCACCTTGTGGTCTTTCTTCACACTTAGTATCAAGGAAACTACCTTCTTCAGGTGTTATTTCTTACTGCTACTCTAGCTGCTTCCAGTGTTTTAGTCTCAGATGTCAGTGTCTCCACTCACCCTCTGATACAAGTTGCATCAAGTAGTAGCTATCTTAGAATATGATGCATGGGAGAGATTGTATCTTAAAATGAAGCTTACAGAAAGACGTGACTGATTCTGGTCATCTGGTCACTCTCTGTGCCTCTGTCTTGACCCTTTTTAGGTGGGAGGACACACTATGCTCCCCATCCGCTGGATGCCCCCTGAAAGCATCATGTATCGGAAGTTCACTACAGAGAGTGATGTGTGGAGCTTCGGGGTGATCCTTTGGGAGATCTTCACCTATGGAAAACAGCCATGGTTTCAGCTCTCAAACACAGAGGTAAAAAGGGGGGCACACAGGAATCTTGATTGGGGGAAAGATTGTAGCTCAGGCCAGGAATTGGCCATAGTGTACAAAACATCAGCTGGGATTTGGAGCCAGCAGAATGGATGTAGACATAAGTAAGCAGAGGGGGAAGCTTGCTGAGTGTGGTGGTACATGCCTGTAATCCCAGTGATTCAGGAAGCTGAGGCAGGAGGACCGCAAGTTCAAAGCCAGCCTCAGCAATTTACCAAGGCCCTAAGCAACTTGGTGAGACCCTTTCCATTTTCTTAAAATGAAAAATAAAAATGGGCTCAGGATATGGCTCAGTGGTTAAGCCCTGGTACTTGAAAAGAAAAAGGGAGTGGGATTTAGAGTGGGGAAAAATTGTAGCCATAAGAAATATAGTATTATTGTCAAAAGGGCATGAAATCAGATGTCTAAATGGAGATAAAAGTCATGGTTTTATTTGTTCTGCTACAGTTAAAAATCACAAGTGTTTCACCAAGACAGGAAAGGAAAACAAAGAACAACAATGAGTTTTTCAATTGTGCCATCTTGTGGAAATACCTACTACCGGGTATGCCCAAGGAATCTGGGTCCCCAAGGGTTTTAGGCACACCAGCCCCAACAATGTATAAGATGGTGAACTGAGAAAGTCAAGTGCATATAATGGAGAGAGTGCTGTGTGAATTTCTAGGAATAAAATAAGTCATAACAGTAAGCATAATAATAAACACACAATATTTTTATAATTTTAATTTAAATAACAATAAAAATGAAAGTGAATGAATTTTAATAATAGCTCACATTTAGCACTAGGCACTTTCCTAAGCACTATAGCTGTAGAAATTTAATAATTTTCACAGAAACACTTGTTGAGATTCAGGACTAAGGAAGGGAGATTGTTTGGAATCCTGGAGTAGACAGCCTTGGAGGTGGGAACCCCAGGAGCAGGGACAGAGCCTGGGCTGTGGTCACAGGACCCTTCTGCTTCCAAACCTGTCAGGATGCTTCTCAGTTGAGTGTAGACCAGAGCCATGTTGCCTGTGGGGGATTCAGTATAGTTCATAGACCTGAAGGGGATTTGTCTCCCAACCCAGCTCACTTATAATACATTGCAATTCTTTTTATGGTCTTCTGTTTTCTGGGAAAATGTAAACATTAGGACCTTTTAGTATTGAAATCTTATTTTATATTCAGGACAGTTTCTTTCTTCTTGAAAGCTATATTCATCTGTGCTCTCCTATGTCCTGACCACTTAATTAAGTGAATTTCAAAGACTGAAAGGAAGGCATTTCTCTAAATCTGTAATATCTTACTATTCAGAAGCTCAGTGGGGCCTGACCACATTTACCAAAGTAGGACAAAACACTGTATAACCTTTTAAAATAAGGTAAGAGAATATGTCATATTCTTTATGGTGCTTCAAAAAAAAATGTTTTCCTTGGGGGGAGCACATATGAAAACTTTCAGGTACTTGTGCTCAGCATGCACCTGAACACAGCTTCCATGTAGTTTGGTAGCCAGAGAAAAGAGAGGCTCTGGATGAAGGTATTGTTGGTCTTAGCAGAAAATTTGTCCTGGGTAACTGAGCGATTCATAGTAACTAACAGGGTGTTTGTGGTGTCTTCTAAGACTGCCTGGTGAGGCAATGGCCTTGAAGGCAGGTTTCCTGTCTCAGCCCCCTCCCAGCCTCCACCCACTACAGCAGCCAGGCACTGGCAGTTACTGATAATGGAGAGACACTACTGAGTGCTTTTGATGTTAGCATCAGCAACTGCTGTAGCAGTTTCAACTGGATTCTTTTTCATGGAAGTGACGGTTACAGGAAGTGGAAATGGGGCTCTACTACCAGAAGGAAATTTAATCAGTGGCGGCATAAGAATGAGCCTTGTGAACTGTTGCAGTCTCCAGGGTGAATAGGACCAGGAGGATTCTGACACAATGATGGTTTGACAGCCCATTCCAGGTCAAAGTGACCTGAGACAAAACCCAGGACAAGACCCTGTTAAGCAGCATGGGAAGATATCAAAGAAAAAATAAAGCAGTTCTCTAGCCCAATTGACTACAGGGGAACAGGGGCAGAGAAGGGAAACAGCACTTGTTCAGCTACTGAGTTAGAGATTATTCTGTGTATTTTTATCATACTACCAATCTTCAAATGTGGAAACTGAGTTTCAGGGAAAGCAAATTGCTCAAAGCTAATGGTGGTAGAATGAGAGAGAAGTTAAAATTAACCTTCAAACTAGAAGATGAGACTTTGAGAATACACGTCATCAGCATTAGTGAAGAAGTGTCTGGACTAGGAATGTAGCTCAGTGGTAGAGTACTTGCCTAGCATATGTGAGTCCCTAGGTTTGATACCTAGCACCACAAAGGAAAAAAATGTCTTTGAGGAATGGGAAATGAACTGCAAATTATAGACAGTTCTAAAGTGGCCTGCTGAGGTTGGTCCAGCCATGCATTATTTGTTCTCTTCCCACTTCTCCATATGGTCAATGCCTCAGTATGTAGAGCCATCCAGTCTCTTTTCTTAATCTCATTTGTCCTTAATATAACACTCCTAGGAGGTTGTCAAGGCAGATATTTATTTCCCACTTTACATTCTAGGATGATCAAATCCCTTGGGGTGAACTGACTTGCATTGCTACCCAACAGATAGTGGTGAATCAGTCAGACCTAGCATTAAAGACATTAAAAGACACAAGGTACATGGGTGCACGCAAAAGAGAAGGGAGGTTGGGCCTCGCTCAGATAGGAATGTACACTCAGAGGCAAGTGTGGTGATATACACAGAGGCTTTGACCAACAGGAGAGTTGGCCAAGAAGCTAAGGGAAAGGTAGGCACGCAGGGGCCAGGAATGCAGAGTGCTTTTAAGTGATTTCAATGTTATACAGGCTCAAAAAAGGGGAAAGGACAGGTCAGAAGTCAATCTCATCAAGCAAGCCAAAAATGAACCCAACTCGGTCAATTCAGATGAAATTCAAGACTGCTCAGGAAGAATTAAGTAAAAGGGAATGTGGATGTGGAGAGTCAATGTCCAGGTGGACCTGGTCCAAGAGGTAGAATATAAAGGACAGGAATGGGTTCCACCATCCTGCTGTCCTTTGCGCCCCTGTCCAGCCCATACACAGAGAGATGAAAAAAATCAGCCTAGCCTTGTGTGCACCTGGGCTTTCCACTGAAGCTGAACTATGATGTCCTTGCCTTTTGCTGGGTAGAAGCCACAGGGCCAAGGCTGGGCTTTGGATATAACTTCATTTTTCTCCTCACTCTTTTAGGTCATTGAGTGCATTACCCAAGGTCGTGTCTTGGAGAGGCCCCGAGTGTGCCCCAAAGAGGTGTATGACATCATGCTGGGGTGCTGGCAGAGGGAACCACAGCAACGGCTGAACATCAAGGAGATCTATAAAATCCTCCATGCTTTGGGGAAGGCCACCCCAATCTACCTGGACATTCTCGGCTAGTGGTGGCTGGTGGTCAAGAATTCATACTCTGTTGCCTCCTCTCTCCCTGCCTCACATCTCCCTTTACCACCTCACAACTCCTTTCTTCCATCCTTGACTGAAGTAAACATCTTCATATAAACTCAAGTGCCTGCTACACATACAACACTGAAAAAAGAAAAAAAAAGAAAGAGAGAAAAAGAAAGAGGAAAGAAAGAAGAAAGAATGAAAAAAATCTTGTAAGGCAGTTTGGCGTATATATATATTTATATATCTAATTATCTATCTATATCTACAGAGAAATAAATACCTTCTCTAATCCTGAGAGAAGCTGCTGATACAGAAAACTATAAAGACTTCAAACAACTCAGAAAATCTTAAATATTATTGACGCAAATGAAAATTCCCTTGACTTAAGCTGTGGCCAGGGTTTCTTCAGCTCTGGCTTTTTGGAGCAGGAGACCTGGACCACGTAGAAAGACAATCTTCACTTTGGGATGGGAGGAGCCAGGGTGGAATCAATTACTGCTGCACATGCGTGTTACTCCTGTAACTCAGTATAGGTGCATACGCAGACTACAACTGTGCTCAGCAAGGAAATGACACTGGAAGACCGGGGCCCTCAAGTTGGCCCTGCCCTTTACCTCCATGCCCTAACTCCCTTTCCTCCACTTCAGGACAGTTTTCTGATTTGTCCATTCTACAAAGTATAGTCCTAATGCTTTTGGGAATCAATGATGGCGCCTACGGGTAAACACTGAACACACATCTCCCCCACAAAACCACTCAAGAGCAGACTTGGATGTAAAGCATGCTCAAGTTCCTTCCTAGATTTGAAAGGGATGTGTCATTCTATCTTCTGAACTTAAAGAACTGGACTTTCTGGACTTAACCACAGAAGAAAAAAAATATATATATATACATAACAGCTGAAATCTGAACCCTGACGAGGCACTGCCACCCATCTTTCTATCACTGGAAAGACTCCTTGACCCCACATCCGGGTTTCAGGGCCCTTGGGCAGTTTTGCAGATTAGGAAACAAGTTCCCTGTGTTGTCTGCTAATGTAGACACAGCAGGCTGCAGGGTTCCAATAGCCAGAGACTTAGTTGCTTACAGGCCATTTTTAGGTGTGTCCCCAGGGTTCTCTCTGTTTCTCCTCTTGCCTTCCTAGCTCCTAAAGCCCACCTCGTGGTCCCTTCACTAAATCCTGGGTGAACCCCACTACCAGGGAAGGAATCCAGGTTTAGTGAGAGCCTGGGGCAGTGCTGTGTTCCAGGGAGGCCAGGCAGTGGCATGGGCAAGAGCCAGCAGGGAAGAATCCACTTGGCACCTGCACTGGGTCCTTGGCATGCTCCTCACGTTTCCAGCCCCTGGAAGGATTGATGCATCTGCCTTTGAGCTATTGTGAAAAGGCAAGGACTGAGAAATCGCTTTTGTGGGCTGGGGGTGAGGGGAGGAGCTGAAGCTTCTCTGGGAGGTGTCCAGTGAGTGGCCGATGCCACAAGCTTGGCATCTTAATGAGGACTGGGCTCTGACCAGGGAGGGAAAATGAAGCAACTGGACTGGGGCCAGCTCCCTCTGCCCCAGCACCAGGGGAATCACTGCCTTCCAGGCTGCTGCCAAGGACTGCAACAGAGCAGATCTCTGGGCCTCTCTGACACATGACAACAAAATGCCAGTAGAAGTCAACAGCCTAGCTGCACAGAGCCCTCCTGCTGGAGAGGAGGGAATGTACCCCTCTGGGGAAATCTGGCCTCTTCGCCTCATCCCAAGCACAGAGCTACCTAATGGACTGACCTTTTCCTGACTGAAGCCTCCTGGGAGCCTCTGACTTGTCCTTTTCCTTGCCCACTGAAGGGACTATATGCAACCTGGACACCCTGGTCAGCTGAAGGCAGCTGAAGTGTGGGCATCCTTGGTGGGGGTTGAGGATTGAGTGATGTGTTTGCAGCTTTGCTTCTTTTTTTTAGATCCACAAATGTTTTTATTCAAATAGAAAAGAGCTGTGCTCAGATCGTAGCCACGGTTGGGATTCAGGGATCAGTAAGGCTGCTCAGCTGGACTGGGAAAAGGACTCGGTAAATTGGGAGTTCAGTATAGGTCTTCTTGCTGTGCGGTGTGTGCCTAGCCCCTGAGGACTTTAGGGAAAAGTTCTTTGGATTGACCACCTTAAGAGAATCTTTTGTTATCCTACAGCAATTACTTCTCTGTTCTACAAATTGCTCCACATGAGGCCCTTGGTCAGTGCTGGGGCTGTGAATGATGGATGGAACTGCACAGCTTGGTTTTGATTGGGGTAACCAAGGGAAAGATGTCTAGGGAGGGAATGACCTGGGGGTGGGGGGCCTAGGGAAAAGTATCTTCTGGTGAGAAGGGATGTTCCAAGGCTCCTCTTGCTGCTCTTTTCCCTTATCCTTCCCCAAAGAGACACAGTGTGGCTTTGGTCGTCTGGGCTGTGTGTTTCTAGAGCCTCATAGTCACTAACTGGGTGAGAAGAAGGGGGAAAATAAATGGGTTGGCTGGTGAACAATGAGGGGTGTGCTAGAGTTTTAACTCAGTGCACTGCATCGTAGCCAAGTGAAAGAAGCCAATTCCTTGGAGAACAAGGAGCATGGAAGGATACCAAACTTGTCAGCTTGCCCTTGTCTTAGTCCACAGGCCTCCACATTGGCACTGGGGTTATTAGTTTGCTGCGTCCCCCATAAATATCTACTGGATGGGAGATTACAAGAGAGAGTACTGGAGACGGGGACTTAGGAAGACTCACTACCCTGCTGTCCTCTCTGTGTAGAGTATACTTTACATGTTAACCTTGACAGGTTAAAATTAAAAAAAAAAAAAAGGAAGAAAAAATTGAGAGTAAAGGAGGCAGAGCATAGGGCTATGGAAACTGGGCACTCTGGGGACCTAGGAGTGTGCAGAGTGCGTTTTTTTTTTCCTCCTGTACTGAGGCAAAACAAATAAGACTCAGTTTACTGTGTCTTCAAATTCAGGGGTACCCTGGCTAATCTGCAACCCCCTTCTAGCTCTGAATTCTTCAATTCTAACAGTGTCTAATTGCTGGGTCACTTTTTCTCAGCATCACTCTGGAATCCTGGGCCTTCTGGGTCTGCTGGGCCTCTTGGGCCTTGCATAGTGGAGTGGAGTTGCTGCTGAGGATACTCTTGGCTTGGGCTGGGTGGATTTCTAGAAGAGAAGCCTCTCTTTTTTTGCACTCCTGACACAACAAGTGAGAGTCTGAAGTTTTTCTGAGACTACTCTAGACTGGGGGAAAACATTTGGTTTCCTTCCCTATCCTAGCCTTCTACCTAGTAGAAAAGCAGTATTGAAGGTCTATTTATTTATTTATTTATTTTGGAAGAGCCTAATGTGGTTAAAGGAGTCTTGAAACGACATCCCGTCGGCCAATATCGCCTCTCTTGTCTACTCCATCCTCCTCTCCCATACCCAAATATACACTTTAAAAGACCATGCCAGATCAACTCTGTCAACTTAGCTTGAAGCCAGCTTCTTTGTAACTCTTGGTGAATGTTCCAGGGAGCCCAGGCTGATCACCCTGCAGTGCCATCCTTAACCTGGTCCCCCCTGGACTGAGTGAAAGTGACTTGCTGTTGGTGGTCCACTTTGGAACAGGGTGCCATGGCCAAGGGTCCACTCAAGAACCGAATGCTGCTCTCTAGATCTTGGAACTGTGAGTGGACCTTGGGGGTCACTAAGTCTCCTCAAGTCAACAGACAAAGGACTTGGTGCTTCCTCTATCAGCAAATCATGCACATGTTATCCCTGGAAAGAGGCTGCCCACTGGAGGTAAAGGGTCCCTAGTCCTTCTGTGTTCAGGCTGAACATTAATGTTCTTCCCTGGTGATACCTACTTTGCGGAATACACTAGTGCAAGTATTTCTGGTGCTAAACACTACAGAAACCAACACCAACAGAAGAGTCGTCAGTCAGTTTCTGGGGCCGGGTGAGACTTCACTTAGAAGAGACAGTCAGTCAGTCATGCCAAGAGTGTACAGAATACATCAGGAAAGACCTGGCTTTGTTCTTAGTTTCCCAGGAGACTTTGGTTAAATCAGCTGATTTCTCAGATTACCAAATTTTCCATCTGAGACCTTTAAGAAATTGGAATATATATTTTTAGGGTTCATTTCAATTTTTTTAAAAATGTGGTTCCATTTGCTTTTGCTTTTTCAAGCTTGTTTGTCAGGAATAAGAGAGAGAAAAAGAAATAAGAGAGAAAGTGAAGGTTTTGAAGGGAGAGGAAGAAAAGTTACCAGTAGCAAGAAATTGATTATAGAAGGGAAATAGAAAAGGTTTAATGACTGGTAGGTTTGAGGGACGTTGGCTGGGAGAGCCAGGCATACAAGCCATGACCCAATGTTTGTACTCTACCAAGGAGGCCACCTTGCACCTGATACACCTATTTCCACCCCACACGGGCACACCCAAAGTTGACAGAAACTATTCTAAGATATGAAGATAGTCCTGCCTACCTTTCATTCAACCACTAGCAATCTGAACTCTTGAGTCAAAAAACAAGAGGTTTTTATCTTTAAATGCTAATTGTAAAGGATTAAGGTGTGGGAAAGAGGGTGGGATTGAAGTCTCAGACTCTTTACCCAAGTCCTTTTTCATTCAGGAATGAACTATTGGCTTCCTTGCTCTCCTTTTCTGAACCAAACAACAATAGTATGGTCTTCACTCTGAGACTTAGTCAGTACAATGAAAAATCTTGAAATCTGGGATCCTTCCAGTGCTTTTCTGAGAGTCTGGAGCATAGAAATGTCTATAGATGATTATTGAATAGGCCCATATGCCAGCAATCCAGAAAGCTGCCTTGAGATGCCTCTGAGATGCCTATTGTTTGCTTTGGTTAGAAACCAACTGCTAGAATACTCAATGGTATTTGTCTTAGAACAAAAAACAACACCTTTAGTCTAGGCATTGAGTGCTGTAGTCATTGTGGTTTTGGTTCCTTGAGTTCTGCTGCCTCTTTGAATTCAAATAAATTCTTTCAGCCAATGCTTAATACGTTCTAAAGGGAAATTCCAAACTTTTGCATCAGTATTAAAACATCAAGATAGGCTTCGAAAATCTTTCAATTGCTTGAAAACCCCCAGAGTATCTTCTTAAGGGACATATAGGCATATACACATTGTGTGCTGTATTGGATTAGAATGCCTTCAAAGAAGGCCTGCTTGGAGTCAGAAAACTGATTCTAATTTGGGGTTCTCTTTGCAACTTATATTTTTTAGGAATGAGAAATTCAAAGATTGACTGGCATCAGAGTCATTCAAAAAGGTTCTGTTGGGAAGTCTGTCATCTTGTAAAGTTTGATCATTTTCTTGTTAAGTTTGATCATTTGGTGCTCCCTGAATTAAATTATGTTGACAGTAACATTCTGAGCATCTGAAAATCATTCTCTCCTGGTTGTCTGATGGATCACCACAAAGGAACTGTTTCTACTGCATCTTGATTGGGAGTTGGTAGTGACGTCACCATCTCTGCAGATGACAGGACAGAGAGACTGAGATGTTGATAACTGATCATTCTGAAAAGCATTGCTGCCATGTTGGGTATGGTGAATATTTATGTGACTGCACTGAGTGTTAGGACTTTTGCTCTGCCCATGGGTTGCTCTGCCCTGGGGACCTGAATCTTGGCTTCTGTTTGTCTGGTGCTTTCTCCCCAAACACAGGGTTGTTTTTTTCTTTTTTTTTTTTTTGACTGTCTATAAATTGTTTATACGTTGCCACTTTCTGTCCCAAGTCTCAGTGAGCCAATGTAAACACTTTTCTGTGAGCTCTGTGGAGATTGAAGGCTTCTTCAGAGTACTTGAAATTCTTTTTTTTTTTTTTTTTTTGAAATTCTTGATCAAAGTACTGAGATTCAGATTTCCCATCCTTTCAGTGAACTACTAGATTCCAAGTTTTAAACAAGGCCTGGTTTTATATTTACTATAGGAGATGATGTCTTAAGTCAGTGAGCTAGGTTCTCTCCCTTTCATAAAGAGTTGGGACGGTAACTTCTCTTAATGTTCTGATCACCCAGGAATCCATTGCTTTGTGTGTAGCACTGTGGTCCAAACTCACAGTTTGTAAGAGATACTTCCAACTGACAAAGCTAGAAGTTCTAATAGAACACACATTAGGATAACACAGACAAGAAAAGGCCTATTGAACATCTTCTCTGAGAAACATGTAGACACCTGGTCTTGCTTTTTCATTTTGCATTAATAAGAGAATTTGTTTTCTTTTAATTTGAGGCAATCAGAAATTGATACATCCTATCTTCAGGGACAAAGGTAGGTTAAGAGCTCAGACAACTATTGTGTATTCTGACATTCTTTTGGATGCAGAATTCACTAAACCCAATGAGAAATATGAATTTTCAGTCCTAAATCTGATAATTATTCTTTCATTTAAGAGGAGTTCATGGAAGTCACCTTTAAAAATCTGGATCAATAGTACGACATATTCACTTCTTTTTCTTGGAGATATGTCCATATTGTATCTGCATTCAATAGCCACCTGATATTTACCCAGTCCCTGAGGACCCACCTCTGGAATGAAAAAATAAACCTGGTCTAGGTGATTTGATTTCTGCTGTCCACAGTACAGAAGTAAATTTCAGTAGAGATTTTCTTTCATTTTTCTTTTTGCTTTTTCATTTTCATTTAGTTCTTATCCTCCTGTTTCTATGGGACAGACAATCCAGTTTCTCAAACTCTGTAAAAGTCTTAATACGAGGTGAATCCCAGGACCACAAACAGTTTGGACTTCAAACCGTGAGAAAATTGGCGCCGAATGATTCGGCACACAAAGCAGAAAACTTTCATTTCCTTCAGGCAGGATGGAATTGACTGATATATTAAGACTTCTGAAGGAGCCCTGCCCTGGAGTAATTTCAGTGCTGTCAGACAATGTTGACATCTAGATTAACCTCTGTGCAGTGAAATTTACTGCAAAACTCATTGAGATGCATGTGGCATGTCTCTGTAAATCCCATCTGGAGCCCTTGGTGGCCCACCCTCAGCAACCATCCCCCTCTTCCCTACCCACCACTCTCACAATCCATGAACTTCTAGCCTCCAGAAGAGGGGAGCCACAGCTGGGGTCAACCCCAAGAGAGGGAGCTTTGACCTTTCTCTGACCATGGTGCTGAGCCAGGCTTTAGTGCTTGGTCAGAGTGACAGTGGTTGTCATCATATGGGTTTTCCCCTGAGGGGACTGCACATCAAGGCATGAAAACCACTCCTCTGATGACAAACAGTTTTGCAGCATATCTTGATGCTGCACAAAGTGATGAAATGATTTATAAAGAATTAGTGTGACCTAAGTTGGTTAGCTCCACTCTGGATCCCCCAATCCTTCAGGGCTTCAGGGTTTGAATGCAACAAGGTCATGACCACAGTCAGGTGTGAGGGAGTGGATACTGATGGACAAAGGCCTCGTCCTTTTGGCAGGGGTTTCCTTTGGCCCTTGCAGGAAAGGCAGCCTCAACTCCTTTTTTTCCTGTGTGGCAGAGGATGCAGCTATCCTGTAAGTGCTAACCTGTGTTTTCTCTTTAAGGGGTGTGGGCTACAGAATGAATAAAACCCCTTATAATTCACTGTGTGATGCCATATTAAGGTGCAGCAGCCAGATGAAACTTCAAAGCTGAGATCATGACTTCTCTGCAAACATAGGCCTTTACTAACATCAAAAATTACAAGAAAAGGCCTTCAGCTTATTATCAGCCACCTTCAAACTCAGTGAAGTTGCTCAACATGATCACAGACAATTTTGAAAATTTACCTGAGGATTTTAGAACAGTTTACCCAAAAGTCTGGAGAACACATTTCTCTGAAGTTTTTCTTCTTCTGATTCTCTTTCAAATTACGTTTCCGACTTTGCTGTGTGTCTTTAATCTAACAAGAATCTCCTCATATATTCTTAGATATTTCTTTAGAAGAATTGAAAATTTCCAGCTAAGTACATTGTGTTTATTGACTGGGAAAATAGATTTCTGGACTTAAGTAATTTAGCAATCGTAAGAGGCAGTCTTGGCTGTTTAAAAGCAATTATCTGAGTTGTGTTTTGTATTAGATTCTCAAACTCACATAGTACAAACTACATTCATCTTTTTAATTATTTATATTATGATACTTGTTTACATGTATATGTACACATACATGCACACAAATACTTCAGTGATTCTTTTGGTATTCAAACCACAATGTCCCATGTTTGTTGCTTCCATTGATCTCTGTGTGCATGCATGTGCAAATAAATGTGCACCACCTGTGAGGTTTCTTAAGCCTAACTGCAACTCTCCTTATCCTTTATTATCAATTCAGAGCCTTTCACTTTCTGCACTTTGGATTGTTTGCAAAGCTAATTTTTTTTTTTTTTTGAGACAAATTCCTGATTTTCTCAAAATCTTTGTATTTAAAGGCAGGACTACTTTTATTTACGTATTTATTCTTTTCAGAAACAAAAACCAAACAGCTTTGATTCAGATTTGATTTAATTCATTTTCTGGGGAGGAAAAGGGTGATGAATTTCTGCCTGCATAATAACTATGAATTGCAAACATAAACGCCCATCAGTTTTAGCTGATTGGTGGACCTGACTTTGGGCTAAAATAGTTACTCAGATAGAAAACTCAAATATTCCAGTTGAATTACAATGTGAAGAGAAAGGGTAAGTGTGGGGTACAGGAAGAGCACTGGGCTAGAAGCAAGCAGGTTGGATTGGGTGTTGCTGGGCGAGGTAGCTGTGCATATATCACCAATTTTGTGGAGCGTGGAGCACAGTGGGAATGTCCTTAGTTGAAAGCCTGCAGCTAGGAGCTGGTTGCAGGCCTATGCTGTTTCTCTGATTGCAGTGAGGGGGCAAACCAATCTTTTTCTTATCCTGGCCTGGATTACTTAGCAATGAACTATATCACATCAAGGTTCCACCTAGAACAAATTTCCAAATATCTCCACTCTGAAGACAGACAGTCATTTTTGTCTTATGTTCATTTTATTTCTTGCACCTCTCCCTTTTTGCAGCTCTTTCTTTCCTTGTCCCTTTCTAAATTATGCACTCTTTCTGTCCTTCCCTTGCTCCCCACACAACCCCTTAGGGGTCCTATCTCTGAAAACCCTAGGAGTTCATTTTCTTCTTCCCTAATGTGAGCATCACCCAGGCTTGTGATTTAGCCTTGTTTTCTGCAGTAGGAAGCAAGTTTGTTCTCCAGCCATCCATCAGTCTCTTTCCAGCTCTATGGACCAAGTGATTAGCTCCTCATTAATACCTCATCAGTTGATTTGCACAAGACTCTGGGACAGCGATGTTATTATTATGCCGTAGTCTATATATTTGAATTCAGCCCATCCTTTTGGGTTGGTTAGGAAAGGCAAATCTTCCCACAATCATTTTTCTTCAAATTCCTCTCTTGTTTTCTGACTGTTGAATATTCTGATAAATGGCAGACCATGGTTTTCATTTTTTTTTTCGAGGCTTCTACAAGTGTGGGTCTCTTATATCTCTGTGGATTAAGAGCTCCACATGTCAGCCAAGTGGTTATCTATTTAATGGAGTGGATGTAATATTGACACACGGATGTGGAGCAGCATCCAAATCTTAATAGGTTTTTTCCTTCAATTAGATGAGATATTTACTGTGATAGTACCAGAAAGTTTTATACTGTCAGAATGGAATCGAACTTAAAATGCTAGGGAACAATGAGGTAGGAGACATCACCAGAAGAGCTGGGAGACGAGACCTTTTGTTCCCCAAATCATTATGCATCAATTGATGCTGCAATTCTGCCCCTTCAATGACTCTGAAAAACAAAAATCGCATTTACTATTCAAAACATATTTACCATGACTGATCTAACCCTTATTTATGAAAATACCATTTCCCCCCTTGTAACTCTGGGTGTAGTTTAATTTTATTTCTTTTTCTTGTCCCTACTAATATTTTCAATGAGATTTCTATTTTTTCCATTTTTTTAAAAAAAATTTCCTTAGGAAAGACTTGGGGGTCTATTTGAAATGCTGTCGATGATGACATGACAGATTGAAAGTGGTGGGGTGGGTAAGGAGACCAGGAGGCAGACATCTTGTGAGTTCCTATTTCTCTCTGAGTGATTGTGGAAAAGTCCTGCCTCCTCTGTGCCTCAGTTTCTTAATCTACACACACACAAAAAGCCGTACTAATAACCTCCTGCCTGTCCCAGAGGGTTATTATGAGCCCTAGATGAGATCCTGGTTGTCAAGGTGATCTGTGAGCTGTCCATGGCCTCACAGACAGAGCTTGCCCCTTGGGTGGCTAAGTGTGGCACCATCCTGCTGGGTGCTAAGCTCGGAGCCTCTTTTGAAGTGTGTTGTATATTGAGGTGCACCCTCCTGAAATCCCTCCTGGCATCTGGTTTGTAGAGGTTTTGTCATTAGCATTTTCCCCTTTGAATCACTATTGAGCATCTGGTGACAGAAAATGCCTTTAAAAAAAAAGTCCAAGTAGACATGGATATTTTATTCATTTGTCTCTGTTGTTGAAAAGGAAATGTTCATAGATTTTTATTTTCAGGCTTTGAATCCCAAACATTTTGTAGTAAAATGGCACCTCTTTTTCCTTTTAACTCCTTAACACTTGTTTTTGCTTTTTTTTCCCCCAACACAATGCTTTGGAGCATAATTGTATGAAGCTTCCTCTATCAATTGGATTGTGAGGCTAATATGGAATGATTATGACTTTGAAGCATTCTAAGGCCAGTGGCTCATACATGGTGAAGGACCTTAAGTGGAAAGAGCTGCTCCAGTGAAGACCTAATGCCAGACCACTCTTCTAATAGCCCTGAGCGTAACAAATAGGTGTGAGTAGGATTCCCACAGAGGACCATGTCCGACTGAAAATAAAACCCTAGGTAATAAATCCTGAGACTGGATTGCTGAGGTTATAACAGTGATGTCATTCACAGCCCCTAAAAAAAAATCCCAGGTGTTTGTGACACCACCCACTATTTTAAGTACCTTGCAATGGTAACTACTTGGCTCGTTAAATTTTTCAAATGCTATTTACCTTCAAATACCAATTAATCAGGTGTAATTTATCTGACAAAATGCTGTGTACATTTTTTTTCTCCTTAAAGGATTTTGACCACTGAAAGAGAAATCAGAATAAGCCTGAGTCTCCAAAATCCTAAGGAAGTCATAAATGTTTCACTCAAATTCCTCCTATCTCAGCTTCTCTCTTCTATCTTGGACTCCATGTTTGTTTTTTTCTAGACAGGAAAGCAACACCTCTGTTCTGGACCTCTGCCTGGGTGATTTTCCCCTGCAGTTAGTTGTCCTGCAGGCAGATAGTATTCCAACTACCTTTGAAATGAGAATCCAAATTGGGTTATGTTTTTAAATTATGTGTGAGATGAAGAAGGCAAGCCAGTTCAGTGTGATGCTTCATAATTCATTCTGATAATCTTGAAGAGATGAGCTTCTTCAGAGCAGTGTTAAGGCCTGCCCTGAACAAGCTGTTTTACTGTGTAACTTCCAAGAGACAAGACTGATTAGTTAAGGATCCCAGAGGTATCATCTGAGCAATAGCTCACTGGATATGGAAAGTTTGATCTAATATTTTGTAGGAACAATGGAACCTATTTTAGTGCTGTTTTCTTTTCCGTCTCTGAAAGCATAGCCTTTGGTGTGTGTGTGGGGGGGTACTGGGATAGCTCCTTTCCAAGGCTAAAGAAGATTGATTATAATTCACATCTAAAAGCAAAGTCTCCCCTAAGCCCACTGGAGCTGAAGGCAATTCCAAAATGACCTGTGTCATTTTTCTGATACCCTACTGTATCAAAAACCTTCTTTATTATGTGTATGGGCCACAGTGGGTTAGCTCAAGGGAATTCTTGAATAAAAATAAAGAGAAAGCAAGTTAGGGCAAGAAAATTCTCACTTTGAGTGTGAGAAGAAACAGCAGTGCTGTTCTCTCTGACAAAACTTGTGTACTGCTCAGGAAAGAGTCACGTTCTTTTTCAAGATGATTTCACTTCTTGAGCAGTGTGTGTGTGTGTGGGTAGGGGAGAGGGAGAGGGGAAAGAGGTTGGAAGTAGGAAGCAATTGTTGATGAATTTAGACTCTCTTGAGCACAGTAAGACTCTGCTCAGGTTTTCTGAAATTATGGTTGGAGAGGAATTCAGAGGCCCATGTTTTGCTTCAAGGAGAAGTTTTATCCATATATTTCCTTGAGAAACATTCAGTCATTGTGAACCAAATCAAGCCTATATTTGCAATTGGTATCAAGAAAACAAAACCAGTAGGCAGTGCCTGTAGACCCTTATTCTGCACCTGTTTGTTGACTTCTTTTCTAAAGGGGCAGGGCTCTTGATTTGTGTGATAGAATATGCCAATAGGGCTTGAAGGGAAATGTGGTTTGAGTGAGCTTCCCCATCAGAATTTTGGCAGTGCTAATTTTTTCCCACAGGAATAGTTTCAGGGCTTTCTTTTTTCTTTTTCTTTTCTTTTTGAGATGGCACAAAAACTCGACTTTTGGAACATGTTTGAATGCCTGTCACCTAGAATCAGCTTCTGCTGAAAGACTTTTCAGTCTGACAGGCAGAGTTTCAGGCTTTGCCCATCCCAGAGTGTAAATTCTGCCATGATTCCTTGTTATCTGTCTTCAGCACCAGGGACAGCAAACACGCCCTCAGCTCAACCAAGGCCTTCTATCCTGATGGAATTTCCAGAGAAGGGCAGACTTCTCCTTTACTTCTTATCCACTGAAACTTAACTTGGAAGATTTTATTCTTAAGCATATTTAATCCCAAATCTGGAATAGCTGTTTCTGTCATGTTCTTGAGCTGGTATCAAACAGAGTTTGGGCCAATGTCCTGACTCAGAGTATTGAAAAAACACTTAGCTCACAGTGGAGGGCACACTTTTGGAGAGGAATTCCTTGCAAAAAGCCTTTATAAGGAACCGTTGATTTGTAAATTTTCCAATAGGAAATTGCTTATTGGACATCACTTTTTAAAAATATGCATATTTCCCACATAAGTTCATGTTTGAATGGGTGTGCATATGGAGACGGTATTTCATAGTGGTTGAGCAGAAGCTAGGAACTTTGAGGATAGAGAAGGACTCAGTGATGCTATTGTTAGAAGGAAACTCGGGGAAGGACATTGCTGTGAATCTCAGAATCCACTTTTGATCCCTGAGTGCTCTTCGTCAGCTGTTCTTGCCTTAAACAATCACAGTAAGACTGGTCCTTATGCCTGTCACCAGGCCAGAATGGAAGGGGTGCACTGGAAAAAACAAGGCAGCAGAAGCACATGTCGTTCCTTTGCTTTGTGATTAGCCAAGTTTCATATGCCACAATGCAACAGAGCTCTCATCTCAGAAGCAGCATTTTCTTCCCTTGATCAATCAGCAGCACTGCTACCCCGCTTATGTCAGGATGGGCCTTATGCTGGGAAGTCAAGGGGGTCACTGCAGGTTTCATCTTAAATGCTGCCTTATACTTCAGACATGTCAGATATATCTAACTCCATCTTGGTGGCAGCTGGAATACCCAAGGCTCTGACTGCTCTACCATACCCTCTTCTTACTTCCTCTGCTCCTTCAGTGTTGCTTATCATAATTCATAACAATCAGTGCTAGAACATCATGAGAGATTCCTTCTAATAATAAATGAGGTAGTAGAAGCAGGCCAAAGTACATCTCAGAGGAGAAATTTCAATGAAACTGTGATTTTTTTTTCTTTTGACCTTGGACTGGGTCTGAGGAGAAGCTCATTTCCCTTGATTCCTTATCTTCTTGAATGAACTTAATTTGCTGTTCTTATTTACCATGCAGAAAGGGGCATGGCATGAGTTTCTCCATACTATTTGTATGAGGACTTCTGAGGGATAGGATCAAAAATTCTCTACTAGAATTTTTTGTCTTTTGAAATAAGGGAGTTGGATTTTATATTTAAATCAAGAACAATCCTATTTGAGGAAGGATATGTATAGAAAGAACCAACAGCTATAAGAAAGCCTCATAAAGGAGAATCTTTCCCTAGTATAGAGAGGAAGGATTTGCAAACTCACCATGAATGGAACAAGTGAACTGCTAGGCAGTGCAAAGGTGGTCCAAAACTGGCAATGGAGAGCAGGCACATTTAGAAATAGAGGTGATGCCATTAGAAGCCTCAGGAGGGAACAGGCCAGAGAATGAAATCCTGTAAAAGTTCTCAGTACTTTTTCTGGAAAAATTCCTAAAGTTTTCAAGGGCACTTCTAGCCCTCTGCCTCTTCAGAGGTGAGCTCAGTGCTACTTCTGGGTTCTTAAGGCAAATGCCCTGCAAACACCAAAGTCTTGTATTTTCCACTCTTGGCCAGCACTGGCTGTCCTGGGTGGGATTTTTTTCCCTTCCCTAAGTGAAAGGGACTTGTTTTCAGGAGAAGTGTCCTTTAAACATCCAGCTAAAACTGGAAGTAATTTTTTGCATGAATGGCTTTTTACAGCTAGGTCTAAAGCAGAACAAAACTTGTATTAAACTAAGTGCTACTTTACATATCTTATTTCAAGGGAAATGAAGGATTTATTGCTGTGTAAATGATATACACTGATTTCTTTCCTACTGGACATTACATGTCCCTTTATCTCTAGGCTGATGTTGTGCAGCAAACTTTCAATATCTGGAAAATCAGCTGGTACCTACTTCAGTGCACTAGTAAGATAATTATGTTCTCAGAGAGGAATTTTGCAAATGAAGTTTGGGTGCTGTTGTAACTGATTTCCATGCCCTTTCCCTAAGCTTTCTGTACTAAATATCTGTAAAGTGATTATATCTTGTCTGATCCCATGCGTCTGTGTGTATTTCCCAATGTTTGTGTAAATATATTGGCAATCTGAAGAGTTAGTTGGATTATGGCAACTGCAGAACAACAATGTGTATGGCATATGGGACACATGTGATATGTATGCATGCCTGTTCCTGGGCCAAGCTAATCAAATCCATGTTGGCTTGGGGAAAGTTTAACAGTGGGTATGGTATTGCCAAGCCATCATTTATTGGTGAAGACCTTGACAGAAGAATTGCGTTCAACTACAACTTATGTCATTTACTTTAATCTCAATTGATTATTCCTCAGTTTTCTTTTATTATACATACATTCCTTCATGACACTTGTTCATTTGATTTCCCCCCCAGGCCACTGGAAAGTGCTGATCATATTTCTATACTATTGTTTGGATCTCAAAGTTGTTAATATACATGATTACCTTTTTAGTAAAATTGGTTTAACTTATAGTACCTTTTCCTTGAGGTACTATTTCTTCCATTCCTTTTCTTGATAACAAATGAATCCATTGGTTGTGCTAACTTTATTTGCATCCTGGCAAGTCTTGGGGAACTGATCTAGTTAAAATAATGACTACATTTGCCTTTGGAAAATAGGTTCATGGTCTAAGTAAAACTTGTATGGGAAGGTGTCCTTTATGCCAAAACAAACAAACAAAAAGTAACTTGGTAAGATGGCCCCAGGGTAGAGGGGATGTGCTCTCAGTTGATATTAAAGGATGTGTTGAAAAGGCAAGTGCCCACCCTTTCTCTATTTCCCCTCCCACCCTTCCTTCCTCCTCAACCTCAAAAGAAAACAGAAAATTATTTTTTTAAACTGTATTAATAATTTATGTTTAATACAAAAGGATGATTTAATGGTATCACCAAAGGTCATTTCTTCCATTGTGCATGTCCTTTACTCTCAGCCCCGCACCATCATGCCATTCTTCACCCTCACACTTTCATCCCAAGGCAAACACGTGTCTTCATCAGAATCTATGGGTGTTGGAGTTAAATGTGGGGGCAGAGATTTAATACCTTGACACTAATGAAAACCAACCATTCTTCACTTTCAAATGGTCTATTACTACAAGAAGGCAAACTCTCTTCTTGGTTTTTGTTTTAAAACATTTTATACATATATATGTATATATGTGTGTGTATGTATGGAAATATGTATGTATATGCACATGTACATGTATATATGTATATATCCATCTCCAATATAAATATATCATATGTGAGAGTTGTAAATACTCCTTAGTCATATGTCTGTCTTCCTCATAGTATCATATCTTCAATGTTATGTTAACAACTCCATTTATTGATTGATGAAATTGTGTGTAAACCTGTATCTTCCTGACATAGTTTATGTAGGGTCTCTTCTCAAATAAAGTATAAAACAACAATGTCCTTGGTTTATTTGGATTCATTTTGTGGTAGGAAAGTGTTAAACTTAAAGGTAGGTTGAACTTTTGGCAAGTCCAGATGTGTGCAAAAATCATGCAAACATGGAATACTGCCTTGCTGAGGGTTAAAGTGGCTTGCATGATTTTTGAGACAACCCCTAGGTTGAATTTTGGATGGTGATGAGTGTTTCAAGAAGTAAACACATATATTGTTATTTGAGGCAGAGTCCCAAGAGAAGCTCTAGGTCATGATGATACCCCATTATTTCATAGATGTTGTATTCAACTTCCTAGTTACAGTCATTTGAGTCAGTTTCCAAGCTGGGATAATATATTCTACTGGAGATCCTTTCACCCCAAAGATTGTATGATTCTTTAGCATAATGATTTTAAAACTCCTTTCCTCTCCTCTCTCATTTCTTTCAAGTCTCCCTTCATTTTCAATATACATCTTTCCTCTTTGTCTCATTAATGCACTACTTGTAATATTATTTCAAGACTTTATTTTCAATAATTTCTTTCAAAAATATTTCTGGGTTGTGGAGGAAATGGTGTGGGGTAGAGGCAGGGACGTACAGGAAGCATTTCTACTCATGAGAGTTCAACAGCAATGTGGAAAGTCACAAGGTGGATTTTCTCCATATTGGCAGAGTTTCTCCATAGTTTTTGGCACCATTCAGATTTTGGACTTGATCATTCTTTTTTTTTTTCTTGGGTGAGTGTGGGGGGCTGTTTTGTGCATCATGTGATACTTCTAAGTGCATTTTTATTAGATGCATTAGCAGCCTCCCTCCAGTGTGTGATGACTCAAAATGTCTCCAAACATTGCCAAATGCTCCCTAGAGTGGAGGTGGGAAAATGCCCCAGTTGAAAAGAACTGATTAAACGTTGAAATCTTCCTACACAATATCTTACAGTATTAAAAAATAAATCAAATTCTGAAAATGTAAGAGTCCTCCAGCCCTTTCTAGACCAGCTTCTTGGCTGTACCTCATGATATACTTGCCACTTTTTTTTTTTTTTTTGGTACTAGGGATTGAACCCAGGGGCGTTTAACCACCAAGCCACATTATCCAGCCCTTTAAAAAAATATTTTCTTAGATACAGGGTCTTGCTAAATTGCTCAGGGCCTCACTAAATTGGTGAGGCTGGGTTTGAACTTGCAATCTTCCTGCTTCAGCCTCCTGAGTCCCTGGGATTACAGGCCTGGCTTTTGCTGCTTTTCTTCAAACACATCTCCTTTCAAATATCTTTGTTGAATCTGGGGTCTATGGTGCATACCTGTAATCCCAGAAACTCTGGTGCCTGAGGCAAGAGGATCCCATGTTTGAAGCCAGCCTGAGCAGCTTAGTGAGACCCTGTCTCAAAATAAAATAAATAAATAAATAAAAAGGATCAGAGATGTAGCTCAGTGGTAGAGCACCCCTAGGTTCAATCCCCACTATCCTCTCCACACAAATTATTGCTGAGAATCAAGTTATAATACCACATTTGGATTTTACATAGCAATAGAGGTACCTTCTTCATCTTCATGTATCAAAATGTCTTCATCTGTAAAATATGTGTTGATACCACTTTTTTAAAAATGTACAGTTAGTCTACAGTTAATGCCTATGGATCTGAGTGGGAAGAAACACAAACACCCTTTTTTTTTTTTAAGTTTTATGCCACTGGGAATGATGCTGGATACCCAAGGGGAAAAAACTTTTGTTTTTCAATCGTCCCATCATATTTTTCACCTGGTTCTTGTCCTATCATCACATAAATCACAAGGTCATATCAGACCCTTTGTAAGGCTAGAATGTAAGTCTCCAGTCCATGAACTCATTTTGATGGGTATGAGGAACTTGGATTAAGTTTGTGCTCAGATTATTTCACAGAGAAATTACCTTTGCCAGAACAAACTTAATCCAAGTTCCTTAATGGACATTTGTTGAGTTGTACTAGAGTCCTCATTCTCCAAGGCCCTAGTCATTCATGCATCATGCAAAGTTCTACCATTAAGCTGGCCCTTAAACCTCACTCATGGAAACACTCAGGATCCAAATCTCTGAACAATCTGATGATGTAGAAGTTATGGGGGAGAGATTTCTTCTCCCCACCATGTGGCTGCCTTTGCATTGGTGGCTTCCTGAAGGCAAAAACAATTATTTCTCAAAATAGTCTATATTAGTCTATAATAGTCTTTCACAGTCCAGCCCAGCGATGGCAAATAACGGAAGTGCATTAAAGGCTGCTGGTCTCACTCTATATACCTGGTACCCTCAGCTTCCTCGTCTGCCAGGGAATCCTCCCCGCTGCACACAAAGGCTAAGGGCACTGTGGGGGTTTTGCATCTTCACTTTAGAATGACCTTATGCCCTGAGGAGTCATTATTTTTCATTTGTTCTTAGATCACAATCCAAAGTTGGGTACTTTTATATCTGGAAGGTTCTTAATAATTTTATTCAAATATGTGCCTGTAGCCAGGTATACAAAAACAGGGACATATTCCAATGCTGTAGGGCATGGTTGATAAAATTATCTTATTAAGACAGCATGGCTCTAAAATATCAGCACCCCAGTGGTGACACAAAGAAGCAATGGTCTAATGGAGATAATTCAGACACAGCAAGTGGCTGTTCCTGAGTCTGAACCTGGAGGCTATGACAGTGCCAAAAGCAGCAGTGTCATCAAGGTACTCAGGAGACACAGGCCAGAGATACGAATTAATCAGAAAGTTCACATCCAAGATGGTGATTGTTTTTTGCATTGATCTTGAACAGATAACAGGAGTGAGCACCCAGAAGGTGTCTGAGGACACATTTCCCCAGTGTTTCAAGGCACAGTAGGGCCCTTAGTTCTGTGCCAGGCCCTGTTCTTTTCTCCTGTTGGGATGCTCAAAGTTACTTGCCTATTAACCAGGGAGGTGTTCTATTTTAGCCTCTCTTTCCCCCCATTACAATGTTCTGAATTATTCAAATCACCAGTGCAGAACTCAGCAGAGGGTCTAATTACTGCCCTGCTTGCTACTGGCTGATGAGCTGCAAAAGTCAGAGAATGACTTCAAAACAGTTAAGTGGGGAGAAGCAGCATCTTTGGAAAGTCGCCGAGGAGTTTCAGTCTTACTAGGGAAAGCTGGATGTTGTAGCTGTGGAGAGCTTGAGGGATAAGGCCATTGTCTGACGGCAGATCATGGCCAGATACCCACAACTCCAGAGAAAGCATCGTCCTGGGATTTTTTTCAGCTCATCTGTGATTGTCATGGTCCTTTCTCAGAACTTTGAGAACATTCACACACGCTTTATGTCTTTCAAGCTCAAACAATCTTGGCTGACAAATGCTAAATTATAATAGAAAGAGGCTAAAGAAGGAGGAAGATGCCAGGACACAGGAATGAGCTTCCATATTTAAGTCCAGCGTCATTTTTGTCAGGCTCTCACTAAGTGCTCCATGTTCGCGAATTAATTATTCTAACAGCATCAGACACTAATAATATTCCCATTGTAACAATGTGTTAATCATGCCTCAAAGGTTTAAATCATTTGTGCATTTTTATCCAATTAATTGATACAGAGCCAGGGTTTAACCCCAGAAGCTGGACCTAATACATGTTTTCCTAATTGTCACTTTAGACCTCTTATCTAAGATGAAGATAGAAGTTTGAACCTAAAACAAAAACAAAAAAACCCAGAAGGGGAAAAAAAGCATTTTGGAAGACATATCTGTTTTAGGACAAAACAGATTTATTCATTCATTCACTCATCATTCATTCATTCATTCATTCATGTGATCAGTTTAGGAGTGTGCTACAGCCTGGAGGTATAAAAGGTTTAAGAGCCCTTCCCTATACATCATCACAATCCCTGATGCACAATCTGGGTCCCGCTGTGAATGGGAGACTGTGTAGCTTGCTAAGAGCTAGGCATAAGATGCAGAAGGACAGACTTTTTACCCATGACTTCAATGAAAGCTAAGAAAATCGTATTTGATAAAGACATTCCCCTGAGCTTTCCCCAAAACAGAACTAAGTTCTCACTAGTGCCCTTGGGCCACACATGGTAAATGCCAGGTTTTTAAGATACACCTTATCAGAATTCACTGGGAGCCTTGACTGAATTTTACTCCAGGGTGGAAGCCAGAACCCTTCTCCCAGGCACCTATGCACATGTTGGCCTAGAGAACAGGGCAATGTCTCAATCCTGGCCTGACACCCTTAAGTCACTGCTCCAGGGACAAATTGGCCCTGCTCATTTCCCATCTCTAAGAGATACAACAATCCACTGTCTCCCGCTACATAATGGAAAGCCCCACTGTCAGAGTTATGCGCAGTGGGGCTGATCATAAATATGATTTATGGAGTTAGTTCATTTACTACCTCTGATGCTGGACCCAGCTGCCAGGAGTTTGACTGACAATTTCTGTTTATTTATTTCTCACTATATAATATCTGACTTCACATTATAAATTCTTCTGATTGGAATTTCATGGCATCTGCTCTGGTATTTATTGATTGCATGCTTATCAGAGACTCTCTTCTTTTTGGGGATGAGAGGGACTCTGAGCCCTTGATTGTGCCCCAACATGCCCATAGTGAGAGGAGTATGTTGTTACCTTTTGTCTCTCAAGGCAGACACCTTCTGTGTGCTAGAGATATGGTCACTTACAATGGACATCACTAGGGATTCAGAGTTGCAATAAACATCAAAGAGTAACTTAAAGTAGAAATGGTGCTTGCACTTGAAAGAGGTCTGTCAGGGTATGGTGAGGCATGGCATTTCTTGACTGGATGGCTATGTCCTTTTCCTTTATCCCTATTTGTAGAACCAAATGACCACTAGTCTTCAACCCTTGGCTTAAGATTGTGCAGGGAGAAGAGAGTTGGACTTGCTAAACTTCAGGTGATACTCTCGCTCTGTTTGAGTTTCCATCATTCAAGAATAGTCAAAGAAATAAGGGTGAGAAGTAGGGGCAACATTCTGAAATGTGCAAGAGCATTCTTATGTCCAATCAAGGGAGGT